CTTCCTTAGACACTAAGGTATCATTCTGAGGTTTTCCAAATAGGGTAAACGCCAGAATCATGTGGAAATACCTAATAGCGGGGTTATTAATCTCTGAAGAGTGCCTAGGAATAGAGCTCTCCTATCTCAGATCAGATATCTCTCCCCAAAAGTGGTCAAGCTGGCTGTCCACATACTTGTCATATGGAATCTCAATGAGAACATCTGCGCTAACCGGGAAATCCAATAAAGCAGCAAATTCACGGACGGTGAACCTGTGGGTAAAACCAAACAATCTGAATGAAACCAATCCTCTAGCCAACCCTAAACCAATATCAGGGTTGTACTGCAACAAACTGAGGAACTCCAATGTCAGGTTACGGTAGGTAGGCTGCTGATGATGACTAAAATAATCACTACGCCAAAAATGATTTTTTGTATCACCTAATTTAATAGCACTTTTAAAAAAAATGCTATTAAAATGGAAAAAACACATTTATAATAGCACTTTTTAATCGGGCGCTATTATATAATACAGACTATGTAATTTTGATAGCACTTTGTACCAAAACGTTATTATTAAACTTCTTTAAGATAGCACTTTGTACCAAAACGCTATTATTTGACTACCTATATAATAGCATTTATTAAAAAGCGCTATGTTATATATAATAATGAATTAATTAATTAATTGATAAAAAAAAAACATTGGTATTATTGATATAAATTGGGGATTTGGCGCACAAAGAGAAAAAGAAGAAGAAGTTTGGAAAGTGAAAATCGAAAAGAATGGACGATTACACGAGAGAGATGATGGACCTCAAAACCCTCGTGACTCGCACTCTTGAGAAGAAAGGCGTTCTCGCTAGGATCCGAGTATTTCATTGTTCTTCTCCCTTTTCTTCATTTTTAGGGTTTTCTTATTCAGATCCATAATTTTCAATTCTTCTTCATGTTTCAGGCTGAATTAAGAGCTAGTGTCTTTGAAGCTATCGAAGAAGAAGATCGTGTCATCGAAAAGGATCAAGCTCTGCCTCCTGCATTGTTAGGTAGCTGTAACGATCGTGCTAAACAGCTTCACGCTTCTCCTTCTGGTAATTCACCTTTTTCATACTCATTTTCTGTTTATATGCTCTATGGAATCCAGGAATTGGTGTTGTTTTTCACAGGAATTGGATATTGATAGCTAACTTGTGTTGAGCTTCATAAATATCTGTCTGGTTATTTGAATTGGGGTTTTATAAGAAGCTTTGAGTTGTGAAGATGGTGGAGATTGGAGAATTTTGAGTTTTTGCTTTTCCGAGAGTTAGTTCATTATAATTGTAAGCTCATCTCATGACGCGCAGTTGCTATGAGATACATGTAGAAGCAAGATGATTGAGCAATTCATCAATTTCGTGATTAGGCCGCCGAGGTATTACTAATACTATTAGTTTTTGTTTCATTGGTTGGTGGCTTGGTAGGTGTACTAACAAATTTATCTATAGCATTTAGCTCCCTATTGTTCTCTATATTCCATGGAAAAATGGGGTCCTTATTAAAGAGACAAATTTGAAATTTTGCTGATAATCATATTTGTATCTGTAGACTTTTATATGTTTAAAAACTTCTAACCAGGTTTTAGAGCATTTTCATTGTATTCTTCAGAATCTAGGAAGGAAATTATTGCATTTGGCGCTATAACAAATCTGTTGCATTAATTTATTTATTTTTATACTTTTGAAGGGACCACAATATGTGTGCACAGAGTTCTGGACGTTTGTTTGCACTAATTGTAGCGGAATACAGTAAGTCCTTACAAGAGTTCTGCTTATTGTAATACCTATATTTCAACCATGTGCTTTGAGTTGAATACATGTTTTTATGGTTCATGGTGGCCATTCTTCAAAACTAATGAGGTTTTTGTGGGAATTTACAGCCGTGAACTTACACATCGGGTGAAATCAGTTTCAATGGCTAACTTTACTTCGCAAGAAGTTACTGCACTTCAAGAAGGAGGGAATCAGGTTTCCATGCCTTTTTGTGCGAAAACTTGTGCTGTTTATTTTTTCAGTCTGCATGATATCATATATTTCTTGAAGTTTATTTCAGCTTTATCTAATACTTGCAGCGTGCAAGAAATGTTTATTTTAAAGAATGGGATGGACAACAGCATTCTTTCCCTGACAGTGAGTAAGTACTTGCTTGTACGTTTTAATATATTGCTGCAGAGTGCATTATTCATTTATTCTGTCATAACTTGTTATGGAATAGCATTAGTTTTGGCATTAGTTTTCTTCCATTTCCAACTCCTGGCCATATGATTCCTATGATAGACACAACAAGGCTATTTGCCAAATAAGGTGTTAATGTAACCATCATCGCCACACATGCCAATGCTTCAACCTTCCAAAAAACCATTGACACTGACTTCAGTTCAGGATACTCCATCAAAACTCGGCTTATTCAGTTCCCTTCAGCTCAAGTTGGTCTCTGATGGTGTTGAGAACATCAAAGATGGCACTTCTCTTGAAATGCTTGGTAAAATCAGCCATGGAATATGGATGCTCCAAAATCCAATCGAGGTACTGTTTCAAGATCTTCAACCAGATTGCATAGTCACTGATATGATGTATGCTTGGACTGCGGAAGCAGCTCAAAAACTAAACATTCCAAGGATTTACTATTACAGCTCAAGCTATTTCTCCAACTGTGCAGCTCACTTTATCATGAAGTATAGACCACATGATAATTTAGTTTCTGATACGCAAAAATTCAAAATTCCTGGTTTGCCTCATACCATTGAGATGACCCCTCTGCAGATTCCTGATTGGGTAAGGGAGAAGAATGCCGCCACAGCCTATTTTGAACCAATGTTCAAATCTGAGGTAAGAAGCTATGGGACACTATACAATAGTTTTCATGAACTTGAAAGTGAATATGAGAAGCTTAGTAAAACTAGAATGGGGATCAAATCATGGAGTGTTGGACCAGTTTCTGCTTGGGCTAACAAGGATAATGAAAGAAAGGTCAATAGGGGACAAATAGAGGAGCTTGGAAAAGAGGCAGAGTGGCTAAATTGGCTTAACTCAAAGCAAAATGAGTCTGTACTTTATGTAAGTTTTGGAAGCCTAACTAGACTCCCTCTCTGTGTTGTTTGTGAGTGTTATGATGTCTTTGTGTTGACGGATATTCGTGATTTTGAGTAGCTGTCATGAGAATCTTAAACATGGCGATGGTGACGACAAGAAGAAAAGAACAACATGGACTGGAGAATAACATAGGTATCTGAAATATTTTACTTCAATTTAGGTTTTGATCATGTACTATTGTCTAACTATGAATTTAAATGTTGTCGGTGTTTCACTGTTTTTACAATGTTGTCGGTGTTTCACAGTTTTTATTTCTTCAATATTTGAAACAGGGAAACAAAATATATTTTGAAGAAGACAAAATAGGAGAACTTGATTCCTGGTGTGGTGTGACTGCAAAAGAAATGATTTTAAGAAATACCTGAAAAAATTATGTTTCAACCTTATTGTAGTGGCTATTCTCATGAAGCAAACTTTTGCCCTTTGTTATTGCATTGTTGATCTGTTTTAGTTTATTCGGTACATCGTTGTTCTATTATTTTTAGTGTATCTTTTCATGATTATACTTCATACCTGTCTTGGCCTGGTGCGCTTTCAGGTTTGATGCTGGTGGTGTTTAGTTGATGTTAGAGCTCTGTTTAGTTTGTAATATTTGAGTTGCAACATGCTTTTACATGCTTTTGTCTAAATGTTCTAAATATAATATATCCAAGGCTGTTAAATTTGTAATTATACTGATGAAATTGCAAATTTACTGGTTTGCAGCTTAGTGGTTCCTCAGATTTCATGGATTTACAATGCTACAATGAGGTTGCAGCTTTGTTTATGCTTCTAAGATTTGATTTATTCATAATATATTCTAAACTGAGCAAAATTTTTGCAGCTTTGGGTTCTCTTAACAAACTTATTGAAGGATGTGGAACATCAATAACAGTAACTATTAAACATATAGCAAGCATGTTTTTCGATTTTTCTATGTCGGTGTTATTTAAGTGTTATTGATTTAACGTCGTTTCATAATTCATGGTTCTATTTCATATGTTTCTGGTCCCTTCAATGCCTTACTTTTTGTTTATTTTTTTGGCAGCCAGCACATGACAAAATTGGTGTGGTTGATGAATAATGGATTGTTCATCAAACAATTCCTACTCTTGGTGAACGAGTTAGTCATTATCACTAACTTACATAGATATTTACTGCTACACATTTTCTGATATAATAAACTAAACTGATTGTGCTTTCAACCTGCAAATTTTTTATTAAAAGTAATTCTTAGATCTATATTTACAAATTTCAGGGAGAATATGATCATGGAAAAGACAAATATGATGCGGTATGTTTATTTGACACGAAAACGATATTACTGTCACAATTCTCTGATGTACTGTATGTGAAATTTGTGCGATATAGTAACAAGGAGTTTGTGGTTTTCATCATGTAAACGGGGTCATAATGAGATGCAAGAGTGAGTGGGCAGAATTTCAAACTCTCCTCATCAATTCTGATAAAGGGTATCTTACAGGATTTAGAGGAAGTATGACGAGTTAACATATACTGTTTCCAATTCTGATGTACGTGCATTACTTATATTGATAGACTGCATATAAGTATATTTATCATAGGAAAAAAAGTTACATCTTATATGTATGGCTAATTATCATAAACTACTTGACTTCTGCACCCAATTTTGAACCAAAGCATGCTCACAATAAAGGATTTTGGAGAAGTAGTCTGCATGTGATTCAATATTTGAATGGTTTTGTATCTAAATAGTGCAAGAGTTTCAATCTGCTTTCAGTCATCCACAGTTAGAGTCAATGTAATGAAGAAATTACAAATAGTTAGAGTCGTTGGTGATGGATTTATTGTCGGTGTTCGATCACGGTGGCTGCCGGTGATTATTCTGAGACAAGTTAGTTTTCAACTTTTTTTCCAATTTGCTCTGTTAGTATGATTATGAACTTCGATCGTTTTTCGGGACTACCTGATAACGGAACATTCACTATCGGCTTCACTCCATCAGACACTGATAATCGATTATTCACGTTAGGCATTTGGTTTGCTAGCCTTCCAGGAGATCGAACTTTCGTTTGGTCACCCAATAGGTACATCTGCTATTAACTAATATCACTACTTTCGTATCTTATCCTAGATTTTTCAATAACTGACGTATCTGATACCTGTATCGTGTCCATGTTTCGTTGTTGCACTATCATACTCTCTCAATGAACTGATTAATTTTCTTTTTCAATCCAAACAGAAACTCACCTACATCTCAAGAAGCAATTTTGGAGCTTGACACAACAGGAAACCTCGTCCTCGTCGACAAAAAAGTCACCATATGGGCCTCAAACACATCAAATGCTAATGTAGAATCAGCAACCATGTCAGAATCTGGTAACTTCATCCTTCACAGCACAAACAACCACCCTATATGGCAGAGTTTTTCTCAACCTTCAAACACACTTCTCCCAAACCAGCCTCTAACAGTTTCTTCAGAATTAACATCATCAAAATCCTCATCTCATGGTGGCTACTATGCTCTCAAAATGCTTCAGCAACCAACTTCTTTAAGTCTTGCACTAACTTACAATCTTCCAGAAAGTTACCAAACTTTTGATGAAAATGAATCATATGCAAACTATTCTTATTGGCAAGGTCCTGATATTTCCAATGTAACCGGAGAAGTTATCGCGGTTTTAGATCAAGCCGGAAGCTTTGGAATTGTATATGGAAATTCATCTGATGGTGCAGTTTATGTTTATAAGAATGAAAATGATGATGCAGGTTTAGCTTCTGCAATTCATCAATCTACACCGTTAACCGTTCTTAGGAGACTGACACTCGAAGAGAATGGAAATCTGAGGTTATACCGATGGGAAGACGTAAATGGATCGAAACAATGGGTGTCACAGTGGGCTGCAGTTTCAAATCCATGTGATATTGGTGGAATTTGTGGTAATGGAGTATGTAAATTGGATAAAACTAAGACTAATGCTTCTTGCACTTGTTTACCAGGAACTTCTAAACTAGGAAGAGATGGACAATGTTATGAGAATTCATCTCTGGTTGGAAAAGGTACTAATGGAAAAAACGAAAACAAGACATCGAGTTTTAGAATTTCGACAGTGCAACAAACTAATTATTATTTTTCTGAATCTTCAATAATAGCTAATTATAGTGAGAGTGATGTTTCTTCTGTATCAAAATGCGGCGATGCATGTTTGTCTGATTGTGATTGTGTTGCTTCTGTTTATGGACTAAATGAAGAAAGACCTTTTTGTTGGGTGTTGAGGAGTTTAAGTTTCGGCGGTTTTGAAGATACGAGCTCTACTTTGTTTGTGAAGGTTCGAGCAAATAGTTCATGGACACCAGAAGGACAAGAGGGAAGGTCTAATAACAGTTCTTCTGATGGAATGGGGAGTGCTAAGGAAAAGGCTGTGATTATTCCAATTGTTCTAGGCATGATAGTTCTCATTATTTTACTCACTATGTTACTGTATTACAGTGTTCATAGAAAAAGAACTTTGAAAAGAGAGATGGAATGTTCATTGGTCTTATCAGGTGCTCCAGTGAATTTTACTTACCGCGCTTTGCAGATCAGGACAAGTAACTTTTCGCAGCTTCTAGGAACAGGTATGTGTGTCCTATAATGAATTGAATCTTACCGCGCTTTGATTTTAATATAATTTGTTGCTAACTGTTTATATTTTGTAGTTGGATTTGGAAGTGTGTATAAAGGAAGCTTAGGTGATGGTACCTTAGTCGCGGTGAAGAAACTTGATAAGATTTTGCCTCATGGAGAGAAAGAATTTATCACCGAAGTAAACACGATTGGCTCAATGCATCATATGAATTTGGTTCGTTTATGTGGTTTTTGTTCTGAGGGACCTCAGAGGTGTGTACTATTTTATTTACAATTTCATCGTAAGAATTCAAATTTCATCGCTTTAGTTGGCTTAAGCAATGTTTGTTTTGCAGGCTTTTAGTTTATGAGTTCATGAAGAATGGTTCATTGGATCAGTGGATCTTACCTTCGATTCGAGGACCAGATAGATTGCTCGATTGGCAAACTCGTTTTGATATAGCCAAAAATATTGCACAAGGGATTGCATACTTTCATGAGCAGTGTAGAAACAAGATAATACATTGTGACATCAAGCCAGAAAATATATTGTTAGATGAAAACTTTTGTCCCAAGGTATCTGATTTTGGACTTGCTAAATTGATGGCAAGGGAACATTCTCATGTGGTAACAATGGTAAGAGGCACTAGAGGCTATTTGGCACCAGAATGGGTTAGTAATCGACCGATAACCGTAAAAGCAGATGTTTACAGCTATGGAATGCTTCTTTTCTTATTTTTTTGGTGTTTTGTTTAGAGAATTTGATTGTATGTTTTTGGATTTGGATTGAAGTACTCATAGATGGGCATCTACAAATTTGGCTATGCAAACGCCCTCTTAATATTCTATATGTTATGATATTTGGAAACAATAGGATTTGGTAATTTAAAATGTTATTTGGTATTTGATGGATCATAATATATATGCAATGAGTAACTTAAAGCGTTATTTGTGTTGAATTGAATATAGTTATTTTATATTTACACAAAAAAAAAAATGATTGTGTAAGAAAAAATATTGTACTGTACTTATTAAAAATATTGTACCAAATATGTACCATTTATTAGCACTTTATTTGAAAGCGCTATCAAACATATGTTATATATTAGCGCTTTTTGTTTAGAGTGCTATAAAAAAACAAACAAAAAACATGCAAAATACTGACTTTGATAGCACTTTAATTAAAACGCTATTATAAATTGGTACTTTAATAGCGCTTTTAAAGTGCTATTAAATAAGAAATATTTACAATAGTGGCGCGGTTAATAGCACTTTTAAGCGCTATCAAAAACAAAAAAAAGCGCTATTAAATAGCTTATTTGGCGTAGTGAATCCCAATCAACCTGGTTAAACATGAAGCAGACACTCTCCCTGATGCCCAATACGGACAATATGGGGTCATGCACAAAGATGGTGGGATACATCTCTCTTGGAGCAAGCATCTCATAACGCTTCTGCTGAGCAACACCCACGAAGGTGACAAGCATAATGTCAGAAAAGTCCATAGCGAAAATCAGTGAAGAAAAAGAAATGTGAATCCTGTTGGTTAATCTAAAAATAGTTTTAAATCAGCATCGGCCTAATGCCTAAAAATAGAAAAGAAAAAAAGAACAGAAAAATTTTGTAAAATTTTAAGAGAAACATAAAAAATTTTAGTAAATAAAATTTTAATAAAAAAGGTGGGTTGTCTCCCACAAAGCGCTTTATTTAACGTCAGAAGCTCGACCTATATTGAAAATCAAAAATCTATTTTGGTGACTCATCTGGCAGCTGTATAAATCTCAAACTAGTTGAGTAGTCCCTATTCTCGATGCAGTGGTAGTGCTTCAAACGCTGCCCGTTTATAATAAACAGATCGCTGGTTTTTCCTTTGATTTCTACAGCGCCACTTGGGAGTATTTTAATAACTTCAAAAGGTCCTGACCATCTAGAGAGAAGTTTCCCTGGAAATAGTTTAAGTCTAGCGTTAAACAGGAGTACTACATCGCCCTCATTGAATTCTTTCCTAGAGATGCGTTTGTCGTGCCATTTCTTAGTTCGCTCCTTGTAGATTTTTGCATCCTCATATGCATCTAGCCTAAGCTCTTCCATTTCATGGATGTCTAGAATACTCTTTTCTCCAGCGGCTTTGTAACTTAGATTCAGGGTTTTGATGGCCCAATAGGCTTTGTGTTCCAGTTCTACGGGTAGATGGCATGATTTACCATAGACTAGTTTGAAAGGTATGGTTCCAATGGGTATCTTGTATGCTATTCTGTATGCCCATAATGCTTCATGTAGTTTAGGCGACCAATCTTTCCTGGATGTGGCAACAGTTTTCTCAAGTATTTGCTTAATCTCCCTGTTAAAGATTTCCACTTGCCCGCTTGTTTGTGGGTGGTAAGGTGTTGCTACGCGGTGTCGGACCCCATACTTTGCTAAGAGTTTACTGGAAATTTTGGAAATGAAATGAGAGCCACCATCACTGATGACTAATCTCGGAACACCGAATCTTGGAAAAATTATGTTTTTGAATAACCTAATCACTACTTGTGCATCATTTGTTGGAGAGGTTACAACCTCTACCTGTTTGGATACGTAATCTATTGCCACTAATATATTATTGTTGCTAGAAGACGATGGGAAAGGTCCCATAAAGTCAATTCTCCATATGTAAAATATCTCTACTTCTAGGATGCCCTTTTGAGGAATCTCATCGCGCCTAGATATATTACCAGTGCGTTGACACCGGTCGCATTTTGTAATTGCAGCATGGACATCTATCCATAGTCTGGGCCAATAAAGGCAAACTTATAGGATTTTTGCATAAGTCTTTCAGGTGCTAGCGTGTCCACCATAAGGGGATTCATGACAATGAGATATTATGCTCTCTATTTCACTCTCAGGAACGCATCGACAAAAAATACCATCGGGGCCTCGCTTGAATAGTAAGGGCTCGTCCCAATAATAGTGTTTGAGATCGTGAAAGAATTTCTTCTTCTATTGATAAGTTAAATCAGGTGGAAGGACTTTTGCTGCTAAGTAGTTTACATAGTCAGCATACCAGGGCAGTAAAATTTGAGTAGATACTGCTTCCAATACTTCAGTTGTCTTGGAATTGTTGCAAAATTCAGGGCATTCTTCCACCGAGTTTTCAGACCTCATTTGGGCTACCAGGTGTTCATATGGAAAATCGTCATTGATGGGTATCTCTTCAGGTTTAAAATTTTCCATCCTAGATAAATGATCGACAACAAGATTTTCAGATCCTGGTTTATCTTTTATTTCCAAATCAAACTCTTGTAAGAGTAAGATCCATCTTAATAATCTTGGCTTGGCATCCTGTTTAGCTAATAGGTATCTAATAGCTGCGTGATCAGTGTAGATAATAATATTTGTGCCTATTAGATAGGAACATGATTTATCTAATGCAAAAATGATTGCCAAGAGTTCCTTTTCTGTAGTGGCGTAGTTTATCTGTGCATAATCCAAAGTCCTACTTGCATAGTATATTGCATGGAGGTTTTTGTCTCTTCTTTGTCATAGGACTCCACCTACTGCATAATCGCTTGAGTCACACATCATCTCGAATGGTAGACTCCAATCAGGTGGTTGTATGATAGGTGCGGATATGAGAGTTGCTTTTAACCGTTCAAACGCCTTCAGGCAGTCACCATCAAAGATGAACTCAGCTTCTTTCATTAAGAGGTTAGTCATAGGTTTAGAAAATTTTGAGAAGTCTTTTAAGAAGCTTCGATAGAAACCGGTATGGCCTAAGAAAATTCGTATTTCTCTTACGGTTTTTGGGGGTTGGAGGCTTTCTATTACTTCAATCTTAGCTTTGTCTACTTCGATCCCCTTTTCAGAAACTATGTGTCCAAGTACAATTCCTTGTTTTACCATAAAATGGCATTTCTCCCAGTTCAACACTAGGTTTACCTGTACACATCTTTCTAGTACCTTTCCAGGTTTGACAAGCATCCTTCAAAACTTTGCCCGTATACAGAGAAGTCATCCATGAACACTTCCATGATATCGTCTATAAAATAGGCAAAGATGGACATCATACATCTTTGGAATGTTACGGGCGCATTACATAGTCTGAACGACATTCTCCGATAAGCAAACATACCATAAGGACACGTGAACGTTGTATTTTCTTGGTCATCAGGGTGGATAGGAATTTGAAAGAATCCTGAATAACCGTCTAAATAGCAGTAGTAAGAATTCTTAGCCAATCGCTCAAGCATTTGGTCAATAAAAGGTAGAGGGAAATGGTCTTTTCGAGTTGCTTTATTTAGTTTTCTGTAGTCGATGCACATTCTGGCTTCACTTACGAATCTTTCTGCTATTTGTTCTCCCACTTTATTTGTCGTGACTGTGATTCCTCCTTTCTTGGGTACACAGTGGACTAGAGTAACCCATTGGCTATCTGAGATTGGATAAATGATACATGCATTTAGAAGTTTAGTTACTTCATCCTTGACTACAATGCTCAAGATCGGGTTAATTCTTCTCTGATGTTCTCTAGAAGATTTACATTCATCTTCCAGCATAATGTGATGCATGCAGATGGAAGGACTTATTCCTTTAAGATCAACAATGTTATATCCTAAAGCAGAGAGATGTTTTCTTAAGACGTGCAATAGTTTTTCCGTCTCAGTTTGTCCTAAGTCTGCTGACTATCACGGGTCTTTTAAGTTCAGAATCTAGGAATTTGTATTTTATGATTTTAGGTAAAAATTTAAGTTCCAAGTTGGGTTTCTCCAGACAAGGCATAACTTGGTGTCAGTGCTAGGCATTCGCTTAAACTGTCATCTCAATATTCGGGACACTAATCATCATCTTCAAAAATTAGGGGCATCAGAATCTTCATAGTTTCGGAATAAGTTTCTTGTTTTAACTCCATCTCTTTGACACATTCTTCTATTACATCTAACAGATAACATGTATCATCTATAGCTGGGGCCTGTAGGAACTGTGTCAGGATAAACTCAACTTTCACTTCTCCAACTTCAAAAGTTAGCTTTCCTCTTTTAACATCTATAATAGCTCTATCAGTGGCTAAAAATGGTCTTCCCAATATTATAGGGGTTACGCTGCCTTCTTTAATGTCCATAATGATGAAATATGTAGGGATGTAGAATTGACCTATGCGTACCAGAATGTTTTCTAGAATTCCCACGGGGTATTTGACAGAGTGATCTGTTAGTTGTACTGACATCTTGGTTGGTCTTAATTCTCCCATGTCAAGCTTTTTGGATACAGACAGGGGCATAACACTGATACTAGCGCCTAAGTCGCATAAAGCTTTGTCTATGACATACTTACCTATATTACAGGGTATAGAGAAACTTCCGAGATCCTTCAACTTGTGAGGCATTTTGTTCTGAATGATTGCGCTACACTTAGCAGTGAGTGTAATTCTCTCATTATCCTCTATCTTTTTCTTATTTGACAAGATTTCTTTGAGAAACTTAGTGTATGATGGCATTTGAGTGACAGCTTCTGTGAATGGTATCATGATGTTTAATTGTTTCAGAAGTTCAATAAATTTCTTAAATTTCCCTGCACTTCTAGATTGAGCAAGTCTTTGAGGATACGAGATTGGTGGTTTGTAAGGCGGTGGTGGCACATAAGGTTTTTCCTTTTCTTCTGTCTCTCCATCACCTAACTTCTCCTTATCTTTTGGTTTGCTCTCCTCCTCGGTTGTTTTTCTATAACTTTGGGACATGGCTGGGTTTTCAGCTCTAGGATCAATTGGTCCATCGTATTCA